TCTCAGCTGAACTTGTGCTTGTGAACAACCATCCATGTTTAGGGAACCTTATGCATCTAGGTAATTGCTTTATGTGAGATGATTAAGATGAAAGGAATTCTTGCAACTTTTATGACTCTTGGGAATTTGTTTTCAAAAATAAAACTGTTTTAAAAGCTCTATCCTCCAATTGACTTTACCTTATACCTACCAAGGCCATATGCAAGTATATCATTGATCAACCTTAACATGCATATGACTGCTCGACATTATATTGAGCTTTGCCAAATCTGTGTGACTTATGTTAGATATCTTTCATACTCTCATGATCAAGGGGTCATTATCATTTCCACATATAAAATTGAGCTAAACTTCTACACTGGAAGTTGGCTTTCCACAAAAATATCCATCCAAATAAACTCCTACAATGAGTTATGCTTTCTTCTCCTGGAAAAGTTATTGGCAAAAAGAAAATGAGAAAAGGAGGGAAAGGCATGGCTAGAGAAAAAAATGAAGAAGGAAATAAAAGCTTGCTCTCAACACATTGGGTAAAGAAAATATAGCCATGTCCCCTCCACAATCATGCCAAGAGAACCAATTTGGAGAGAAAGTGTAGAAAAAAGGAGGATCATTTCTTTATTTCATAATTCCACAAAATATTATACTTTCTCATTTTCCACCATAAATAAAGACCCTTGATCTAGGAGTATGATTGATGATCTTCTTGAGTCCATATTTTTGGCTTTGCAATACATATGATGTAGGTATGTCACCAGTTTATCCCTACCAAGCTCCACATATCAGCCATAGAATAGGGGTAAATTCTGGCACACTTTGTCTTGGTGAGGATCCAAAAGAAAATATAAATCTTTGAGAGACAAGAGAGGAAGTCAAATATGAGGAACATAGCTAGTTTGCAAAAGTTCATAAAAATCCCATGAGTCTGACAGAGAAGCAAGAAGGACTGGAATCAAGATCGTTCCATTTATCAATTACTCAAGATGGTAAGATAGCCACTGAAAAAGTTCATAGGTGCAGGTATGGTTGTGAATGGTTTATATGCTTGATTCATCTCTTGAAGAAATTCATTCTACATTAACCTTTACTCAGGGAAAAGCAAAGGGCTAAGTGTGGGGGGTTTTGTTGGCGGTTGTTAAATGCCGATTCTATACCGCCAACATCTGCATAAAGTTTAGATAATCAAACATCCAAAATAGTGATAAGTGCTTAATCTCATATATTCCACAAGTGTTGGTATATATTTGTATGCAGATGATAAACCCCGGTGTTGGGAGGAAAATCGGACTAAAGTGAGGAGAATTATGCATCCATACAAGGAGGAGTTGTGAACTTCATCGAAACATCAGTAAATCAACCAAAAACTCCAAGAAATAGATAAAGGAAGGTCCAGGGAGTCCACCGACCGAAGGCTAGGCCAGGAGGGCCCAGCCCAGGTTCGGCCGAACCCCTGGTGATCACCGTTGATCCCAGGTTTTGGCGTGGACGGTCGTGATGCATTCCTGATGGCGGCTGCGGGGCATTTCTGACAATTCGCATAGTATAATCGTCAAACCTACCTCTATATAATGGCTTCACCTCCTCACTTCATACGCACTTCCAAGCTTGAGCTGAATTATAAGAGGCTATATTGTACTATATTGTATACTAGAATAGGAAGAGAGTAGAGTAGAAGGAGTCGAAAGAATTCCGGAGTTGCCGGTAATCTTCTCCTACTTTTATTCTATCTATTACTCTGAATTTAATATAATATTCTTCTTGAGTAATTTAGATTTATCTTGTGAGAATTACCTCTTGGTTAATTCCTAATTAGCATACGGGATTATTGTTCCCTATAAACAGCTAAAATATAGTGATTGCTATGGTGAGTTATAAACACTAAAGTAGATATTAATTGCTTAGACGTGGTGTTTGGGTAATTATTATGCAGTAATTTCTGCGTATCCCACAGTACGTTGAGGTGGGTGTAGAGGTGGTGATAGCCCTCGAGATCACTAAAGTCATCCCTGTCCGGGTACGCAGTAGAGCGACATCTGGGAACAGCGGGTTGCCAGTGCCTGAAGTATTGCGTTAGGATTAAAATTAAGCTTTCCCTAGACACTGTTTCTCACTAGTAAATCCTCTCTATCCTGGCCTATTATTTGCTTGGTGTCCTTGGATGAACCAGAGGAAGCTCTGATCACACACGTTCCCTTGGATTCGATACCCTTGGAATACTCCGTAGAGGAAAGTGCTACATCGGTATATCCGTGCGCTTGCGGATTTTATCTGTAACCGTATCATATACCAACACACGTACATGAGTCGGAGGAGGAGCAAGAGAGATACCGAGGCGAAGATTGCAGATCTTGAGTACAAGGTATCGAGCTACGAGCTCAGCATGCAAGAGGAGGTGGCAAGGAAGGTGGATGAACGCATGGCCGTACATCGGTCCCAGGATCCCCAGCCGTACATTCCTCCTGTAATGGTCAGCCCCTCAGGCAATCGTAGCAGCTGCACCTCAACGGGGCAGGTAGAATTACAGAGCATGGACGCCATGCAAACTCAGGACGAAACCACCTGCCCCGTTGATGAGATCACGTAGCGGACACCATGTGAGCTGCATATTCCCTTCAAGAACTTATCAATCAAGGTATTCTCGTAGTTTTATGTTTTTTGACTTGTACATATTCCGCAAGTTGCTGCTTAGGTTTCACTAATAGATAACCTCTCATCATGTGAAGGTGGCGTTGGGAATGACCATCCCAACGGACCCTTCAGGGACTTACCATTGCAGGCCGATTCCAGCAGGATACTCGAGGGTCAAAGTTGAGCTGGTGGAAGCCGCGTACGAGGTCCTCGAGTTGGACTACCCTGGAGGAGACGGTGAGACGCATCTACGAGACACAAGCCACGCCATTATACTATGGCGCAAGCGGTACATCTTCCTCCCTGGGCGACAATCGGTGTCTCGTGCACCATCTCTTCCGGCTCCGCCATCTCCTCTGCACCACCTCCTGCACCATCTCCTCCAGTTCCTCCACCACCTCCTCCTGCACCATCTCCTCCGGCTCCTCCGCCTCCTCCACCTCCACCGTGTCTGCCTGCACCTCCCAAGACAAGGTCTCGCCAAGCTCCACCGCTTGCCCGCACAAGGGCAACGAAGAAGGCGAAAGTTGACGCCACCAAAAACAAGGAGCCGCCGTACGATTGCAGTCAAGAGGAGCTTGACGCTTAAGTGGCAGGAGAAGTGAAGAGGCAACTCAAGCCTCGGAGTCCTGAAAATAATATACCTATTGACCTGAGCGTGAAGAACTTCTTCAAGGAATGTCCACAACAAACAAGGAGGCCTTAAAGCTATCGGACTATGACCGAACACTTAAGAAAGCCTATTACAAGAAGTCCAAACCAGTCCCTCGGCTTGGAGAACAACCAAACCAAGAGGTCGAGCCGTTGGTGACCAGCGAAGAATTTGGCATAACGGAATTCATTTCGGACACCGGTCTAACTGTGGATCAGTTGATTGGAGGCGCACCAATCCCGATGGCGGAAGTGGCATACAAGTTTGAACTCCGTAAACCGCTTGTCACGCCTGAGCAGCTGCAGTCCCTACCGACATAGATGTACAAATTCCATGAATGGTTCATGGAAATGAGCGCCAAGGGTAAAGAGATGTTCAGAGCGAGGATCAGAAACCCCGACTTCTTGCAAGGAGAAGAAGTTCTGTGCATCCATTTCAAGAATGTCTTCGAACTATATCATCTAGACGCCCTCGACGTCTCTCTTCTGAGCGCATGGATTTTGTAAGTATCTTTGAGTTCGATTTGTTTCGTTCAATAATTAGTTCCTTGCATAGATGTAAACAATAATAAATTCCTTTCATCATTGTAGAATGGAGATTCAAAGGGCCCGACGGTAGGGGCTTTACGATACTGGGTTCATCGACCCTCAGAAAATCAACACCGAAATGATCGACAAGTACGAGAAAGACATAGAGGACAATCTCGTCCATCTCCTGACGCAGCAGCATTTCAAGACGTTCATACTACTGTCGAACAACACATAGTGAGTTTTTATTGTCGTTCGAACAAATTTCATTCCCATACATATAACATGTACATTTTCATATATATCTCATCTCACGCATATTCCAGATTCCACTGGGTCCTTTTATTTTTCGACTTGGATGCATGCAGACTCACTGTGTACGACAATGAATAAAGAGGAGAAGATTTTTGACAAGGTCTTCCAATTGATAGACAGGTAATATAATGCCATCTATTCCAAAGTCGCGGAGATTCTAATGCTATTATGTTGATCTCGGGTAATAATTAATTAATCATAGCTTGCAACTGCATATGTAGGGCTTGGGATCCGTTCCATCAATTGGTCCGCGGGACATGGAAAGAAAAACTTGGATGGAGGTTTCATTTTCCAGTGAGTACATGCATGATCCAAAATTATATTGAATTGAATCTCTAATTACAGTTAAACCGGCACTTCAACCATTTTTCCCGGTCCAATTACACACGTGGGGTGTGTTTGCAAACCCTTTTTCCCAACCCATCTCCCTCATTTTTCGCGCGCACCCTTTTCAAACGGCTAAACGGTGCGTTTTTTTTAAAAAGTTTTATACGAAAGTTGCTTAAAAAAATCAAATTAATCCATTTTTTAAAAAAAAATAGCAAATACTTAATTAATCACGTGTTAATGGATCGCTCCGTTTTCCGTGTTAACTGTGCACGTTGGGAAACTGGAGTAGCGAACACAACCCATGGTGGGTCTTTTAACTGAATCGGATCGGCCGAGTTTCCAGTTCAGATGGGACCGCCGGTCTGGTCTGATCCTCGATAACCAGTGACGATCCTATATATACTTTCCTCGGGTACTCGGACCTCGGATAAATTAACCAATTCTAACTAAATTATATCATGTTAATTAGTATATAGATAAAAAAATTAGATAATTAATATGTATTGGATTCCCGATAATAAAACCAGTGTTGTGGTAGACAAGTTCATTAATACATCAACGTCAAACAACAATACTGCAGTGTTCAGCGACACAGTACCAGCAGATTTCATATCTACATATAAGCACGGCTCATCACTTTGCCATCCAACAATGTGGGCAATATAGTATATATCGAGGTGCCACAAATAAATGGAAGGTATCCATGCAGGGACGGTGACGATGGCCTGCAGCTGGCTTGTTCTCACGGCCGCCATGGCTGTGCTAGCCTCTTGGTTGATCCGTTTGGTTTCACTAAAATGGAACAGCAGCCACCCATGCAAAGCTGATGAAGGCAGCAGGCTGCCGCCAGGGTCGAGGGGCCTTCCTCTTCTCGGCGAGTCGCTCGAGTTCTTCACTTCGAGCACCTCTCTTGAGCTGCCCGTCTTCTTTAAGCGCCGTCTTAATAGGTAAATAATATGTGTTCTCTCCATTAATCTAAAATATAAGCATTTCTGACTATATATACATGATGGATGGAGTTTCAACGTCGTCTAGACAGGTAAATATACATCTTCTTCCTCCATTCCTAAACCAATATCTTCTTCCTCCATTCCAAAACCTCAGCGAAAAATGTTTAATTATATTTTAAAACAGAGAAAGTTTAATAATGCACGTAAGCATACATCACGACATCACGTACAGCTCCGCCAGTTTGTTTCCTTGGTTGAATGCAAAACTGTGCTAACATGATCAGAACGTCAATATCTTGAGCGCCCATCGACGCGAGAAAGTTGCATCACAATATCAACATCAACATGAGAAGATGAAATTATTACGTAGCTAAAAATTCGTCCACTTTTAAATGATATATCCTTAACATGGCATTCAAAGAGAGCATGTACTGCTACCGAATTGATTTTTCTGGACGACACTTTTTAGGACGCAAGTGGACCAAAACTGTTCCTCTCAGTAAAAAAAAAAAGGCCACATGCGAAAATGTATTTTTACATGCGGCTGATTAAGTGGTCCATCTACGAAAATTGACTTATTTTCCCAGGCGAGCCTCCTAAGCGACCACATACAAAAATGCATTCTTGTAGACGGGTCTCTTAAAAGCCTGTCTAAAAGTCTAACATCCCCCCTCTCTTCTCTCTTAGCATCTTCAAAATTTTCTAAGTCTCTCACCTTATCTCCTCATCTCTCATTTTTTCCTTAGCATCTCCTCTCTCTCCCCACTCATTTTATCCCCCCTCTCTCTCCAAAACATCTCCTGGCCACTAACCTCTCCTCTCTCTCCCCAACCTCTCGGGCGGCAGTAGGAGTGACGTCGGCGAGGACGAGTGGCAGCGGTGACATCGACGAGGGCTCGGCCTCCAACCGTCGTCTACCCCGCCACCTCTCCTCTCTCTCTCTGTGTGTTTCTTCTCTCCCACCAGAGGTCGCAGGGTGCTGGCCAACGGATCCATTGGCTGCAAATTCGACCGGCACGAATCTAGCGGTGGTTGCGATGGCACGCACGAGGGCTACGGCAAGCTCGGGCGGTGGCATGCTCGGCCTCGTACGGTGGAGAGCGCAGCGGTGTCGGATCGGGTGATGGGGAGGACTGCTACAGCAGTTAGGAGGTGTGGTGACAACAGATCCGATGGTGTTGAGGGCGGCAACGGTTCGGACGCGCAGCGACGGTGACGATGACAACGAGTAGTGGTGGATTGCAGTGATGACGATGAGGAGTTGTCGGGCCTCGGCGACGATGAGTGGTGGCAGATGTGGTTTTCGGGATTTTTATTTTTTTCGTGATTTTTATTTTCACATGCGGATGACATAAGCATCTATACACAAAAATCGAAATTCCGCGTGCGACTACACCAACCGCATGAAAAAATAATGATTTTTACAGACACTTCAGAAAAGATGATCGGTCCAACTATATAAAAAAATAGGTTTTAATCGCATGAAAAAAATAGATTTTTAAGTAGTGTACATAAGTGGACATGAGCATTTCGTGAAGGACAAGACGGCGACCACCAGCGCGTGAGCAGGTAGATGTAGGCCGACCCCACACGTACCATGCACATGTCGTTAGCTTGGCCGAGAATGTCCATTCCCTGTACGTCGTGTACAAGGGACATGTATGGCACGGTCGCTCTCGTCACGGGATTATTTGCGCCCGCTGCGCAAGAAGACGGAGAGATGGAGAGGCAGGAGGAGGGGGAGAAGAGAACCGACATACGGGCATTAATTTTTATCGCAAGCCAACGAAGGATGGGGTAAATTAGTATTAGGCAGATGAATTTTGTTCGGACATGTTTTTTCCCAATAAATATAATAGTTGAGTGGTTTATATTATATACTATATGAGACCCGTGCTTTGCTGTAGGAGTTTAATAATATACTTCTTCCGTTTCACAGTGTAAGTCATTATAGCATTTCCCACATTCATATCGATGTTAATGTGAGAAATGCTAAAATGACTTACATTGTGAAATGAGGGAATAATAGTAATAGTAGAAATAGCGTGTAACATAGCTAGACAACGTAAGGTTATAGAATTTTTGATCGATCATTTCAAAAGGCTATAAACCACTTAAATTGATGTGATTTATGATAATTTAAATAGTATACAGTAAAAGTAAAATAAGGTGATGTATTTTTATAAGAGAAAAAAAGGAATAATTTGGACTATAGATTAATCAACTAAGGGCTAGAAACAATTAAAGTGACGTGGTTTAATGAGAGCGTATAGAAAACATTAATTAAGTGGGGATAAAGTATATATGATATTCTAGAAAATGATAGAGAGATATATGTTAAAATATTACTCCCTACATCCAAAAATATAACAAATTTTAGCCATCAAGATTTGTCCGAAAAAATAACAACTTCTCCACCAACATTCTCTTCCCAACCTGTCGGTGATATGGGCCCGGGGATATCATGTTTAGAGGGAGGAGGCCGCCCCAAACCCACGTGGCGTCCCTAGAGGAGGGTGGCGCTCGGGAGGAGCGGCGGCCGCCCCCTCAGCTTAGGGTATCGAATTTGGAGCAAGGAGGCTGCCCCCTAACCCACGTGGCACTCCCCTGAGGGGGTGGCGCCCGGGGTGGAGTGGCACCTGCCCCCTTCTTGCTTGGGAGTCGGGCCCGTCCCGATCAAGACTAGAGGGAGGAGGCTGCCCCAGGCGGCACGTGGCCCTCCACCGAGGGGGGATCGGGCCCGAGGTAGGGCGGCGGCCGCCCTCTCCTGTGACTAGGGGTCGAGCTCCCCCGACCCCCTCTCTAGGTCACCACGTGCGATGGGTTATGTGGCTGCCTCCAGGCGGACCTGTCCCAATCAAGACTAGAAGGAGGAGGCTGCCCCAGGCGCCACGTGGCCCTCCCCTGAGGGGGGATCGGGCCCGAGGTAGGGCGGCAGCCGCCCCGTCCTGTGACTAGGGGTCGGGCTCCCTCGACCACCTCTCTAGGTCGCCACGTGCGATGGGTTAGATGGCCGCCTCCAGGCGCTCACCTACCCGCTTTTATGGCGATCTGAGCGGTTGCGCCACGCCGCATTTAATGTGGCGTGCAGTGCACTCAACCGATCTGTGATAGGTCCGTGACCGGTCGAACGACCGATGGGACGGCGGCTGTGTACCCTCGCCCAGTCAATTTGTCAGGCAGCGTGCGGCGTGCTCCGTCCCGTCCCATCATAACAATGAGGGACTTCACAGCCTCTTACCCCGGTCAGAGCTGGTCCAACCACTCTAAACTGACCCGGGCTCCCGTTTCCTGGTGCGAACGAGAACCCGGAAGTGCTCATCCATTGAATGGCGAATGACAAGGGCGCCCTACATGATTTGATGGGCCCCGCGCAGTAGCTGACGTGCAGATAGCTTCTTGGCTAAGGCACAAGACATGTAATTAATATAGAGAATATTTTCCCTTCTCCCTAGGTAGCACTCGCAGCACATGTGGTATCTCCTTAGAGTATAAAAGGAGGACCATACCTAGCGGGAAGGGGGATCGAACTCTGGATCCCCGAGCCAAAGCTTCTCTAACCCTAGGTTGTACATCGGAGATTCAGAGGCTTTCCAAGCATAGAAGAATCATCATACACACAGGAGTAGGGTATTACGCTTCATAGCAGCCCGAACCTGTATAAATCCCTTGTGTCTTTTGTCTCAAAAACCTCGGATCTCACCCGCTGCCCCTGGCCGAACTCAAAAAAGGGGGGCCTCACGGTTCCCTGGTGGAGGAGATCACCCTCCGACATCTGGCGCGCTAGGTAGGGGGCGCGTTCGTGATTTTTGAGGTTCTTTCGAGCGCTGGCATGATAAGCATCGCGCCGCCAATGCAGGGGAAAGCGCAGCCTCCTCAAGAGTGCCGTGCCACCCCAGGCAGGCGGCTAGGCCCCCCGCCTCTTCACCGGGTAAGGCTGGCGGCCAGGTCTTTATGGCGAGTCTTCGGAATGTCCAATGACCCCCAAAAGTTTCGGCCCAGCCTCACCGAAAGGTACCACGGTAGCGTCAACACCTCCGAGTCCCTCTAGAACCACACGACGATCATAGAGGCGGCGTGGGGTGATGACCGGGTCAAGGCAAATTTCTTCCCCATGGCCCTCTAGGGCCAAGCGCGGGGATCACTCATGAACCTGCCACCCGCCTTGGTCTACTCCTGGGAGGGCTCTTGCAGTTGAGCTCCGGGTGCCGTCGAAGCCCGGGACCCCCTGTGCTGGCTCTTTCGTAACGGCTAGCTTTGGTCCCGCCGGCTGCCTACAGTGCCCGGCCCGGCTCAACTGATCGTCCTTTCAAGCTTCAAGCTTCCCAAAATGGTTAGGAACACATGGTGGGAGGCCCTTTTTGAGCTAAAGGTTTGAAAGGTCGCGACATGCAAGCAAGGTTTGTGTTTGCTTCATTCATACAAGCGATTCTTTGCTATAAGTGTGGGGGCTATGATTCCTAGTTCTATCCTAGCCCTGCGTCGAGCTCTGGGCGCCGTTGACGCCCGGGGCCCCCTGTGCTGGCTCTTCCGTAGCGGCTGGCTTTGGCCCCGCCGGCTGGCTACAGCGCCCAGCTTGGCTTGATCGTGGGTAAAGATTGTTGGCTATGGAAAATTTAGTCCTCGCACTCGCGCGAAGATAATCATTTGCATAGAATTATTGTTGCTTATATTTATTTCTCTCCCATCTCTTCCTCGCGGTCCCGCAGTACCCATGTGTCGCGCGCTCGTTTGCCCCCCTTGGTAACAAAAAGTTTGTATTCGCTTCATCCATTCAAACGATTCTTTGCTAAAAGCGTGGGGGCTACGATTCCTAGCTCTATCCTAGCCCTGCATTGAGCTCTAGACGCCGTCGACGCCCGGGGCCCCCTATGCTGGCTCTTCCGTAGCAGCTGGCTCTGGCCCCGCCGGCTAGCTATAGCGCCCAGCTTGGCTTTATCGCGGGTGAAGATTGCTGGCTATGGAAAGTTCAGTCCTCACACTCACGCGAAAATAAT